TTTTTCACTGATGAAAGATTAAATCAAATATTGTGTTTGGTCAATTTTGTGCTTACCCAGTCCCAGAGGCAATAAATAAAACAAGTTGTTCTACTTTGAAGGCTATAGAAGGATCGCGTGAAATGGGGGATGCTGTAGCAATAATAAAGGGAGAAGGGAAAAACCTCCGGAGGAAGGAAAAACGAGGCAGGATCGAGCAAATTCGAGCCAGCCTTGGTCTTTCTGACTCACAAAGAACTCCACTGGTATTTTAGTATTTGCTTATCATCTGCTTTTAACTTGGCTTTCATCTGTGTTTCTTTGTCTCTCCTTCAAAGTTCTACATTATAATGACAATATGTTGACCTCTTCTCTTATTTTACATGAAGCCTGGGGAAACTCTACGAGAGTTCTACAAACGTACAAATATGTACTGGCAAATGGCTGCATATGAACATACACAACACACTGGAAAGGTCGGTATTCCCTTCCCTTTCGATAACCATTTTCTATCTAGTTATCTACTCCATTTCCTTCCCTTTTTCCTTGTGACTGGTCGAGCATGTTTCTGATGGTCAATACCCTTGAGGCCATTTATTTAAACCATTGATGCATATAGTTGAACCTAAAATAACATGGCTTTAGTAATGAAAAATGAAGCAATCTCATTACAATTATATAATTTCAAATATATTCTCTCATGTACCATGAGGTTTGATTTATATGAGTGTAAATGACTTAAAATGTAATTAATAATTATAAAATGTACGAATAGCATTTCAAGCTGAATTCCGATATCACAGAACTCATTTATAAGCCTCCAAACATTTTCCTGATACTCCTCAGACCTAAGGCAAAGTCATTTTAGAAGATTGTTCATCCTTAACATCTGTCATCTCATTTCATTTAGTTATGGCATTTGAAACAGGAACTTCGAAAAGATGGATTTGATCTTGCTAAAACTAGGTACAAGGAACTCAAGCCGATACTTGATGAGGTAATCTAATCTTCCAGTTTCTGCTTTCAGGTGTTATGTTAAATTTAAGATCACACAGTAACAAACTCACATTTAAATTTTATCTGGGTACAATCAGTTGGCTATCTTAGAGGCGGAACAAAAGAAAGAAGAGGAGGAAGCACCAGAAACTAGTGGACCAAGAAAGAAGGGCCACAAGAAGACGAGCAAACTAGCTGCATCCAAGTGAATGGTAAAATTAGATTGAGATCAAGCTTTTGTTCTTTGTTTCTTCTTATTTATCTTCTGGATCTATTGTTATATAAGCTTGAAGTGTTTTGTCCATGGTTGACAAAAAACATGTATCACATTTTTGGGGACTATGAAGTACTCGATATATATAATGTAGGATTGAGGATGCCTTGTGTAATATGTTTTTTGCAACATTTACTGGACTTAGATATTTCAGGTCTTGTATTGAAGCAATTTTACAATTTGGAGTGAGCATTCCATGACATTAACCAATATTCCTTCCTTTTCGGCTTCATTTATTTATTATTCTAGTATAAAAATAAGCTTATACGGGTCTCATTGTTAATTTTGTTTTTCCCCGTGTGAGTATCCTCAACTTTACGATGATAATTCATCGATTACCAGTCACTATATATGAACAGATGGATTTTAATTAATACCTCAAAGTCCCTATTACCACTTACCGCCCCATCCCCTTTTTACGTTTTCGCCTTCTATCTCTCTCTCTCTCTCTCTCTCTCTCTCTC